AATTTTCCCCCCCTTTACCCCTTCCATGCCCCCCCCCCCAAAAAGTTTTTTCACTTCCGTAAAAATTAAAATTAAACATTTTTTTTAAAATTTAAAACTCCAAATTTTATTTGACAGTTTTTTTTTTTCCTTTTTAGTAATCTTTTACAGAAAAAGGGTTACTAGCCCATGTTCCCGGAAATTTTAGTCGACTTTTACAACATGCATGGCTTACAGAGGAAAGAGTTTTAAATTCCACTCCCCATGGATATAAAAGGAAAAGTAATAAGACCTAGAACTATTAATAAAATCAAAGAAAACTCAGATGATGTGTATAAATAATGTGTACATTATGTGTGTGTGACCTAAGTTTTAAGTAGAAGTAGCAAGACAACTGTAATCTGGCATATTTATGAACAGCAAAGACACCAGCAATCCTACCATCATGTAAAACAATTACAGGCTTTCGTTTTACACTCACTTGGCAGGACGGTAGTACTTCCCTGGGTGGTTGCTGTCTACCAACCTACTTATTCCTCTAAAATTTTTTAAACAATCTCTTTTGGTCCCCCTTCCCCTTTTTATAAAGGGACTATACACGCTCTCCTCCAATCCCTAGGTACCTTCCCCTCTTTCATACATTTATTAAACAAAATTACCAACCACTCCAACACTGTCCCCCCCTGCTTTTAACATTTCTGTCATGATCCCATCAGTTCCAGCTGTATTACCCCCTTTCATTCTATGTAATGCCTCATGCACCTCCCCCATACTCACATCCTGCTCTTCTTCACTCCTAAAAGATGGTATACCTCCCTGGCCAGTGCATGAAATTACCGCCTCCCTTTCTTCATCGACATTTAAAAGTTCCTCAAAATATCCTCTCCATCTCCCCATCTACTAACTCCCCTACTCTTACTCACTCACTCTCACTCTCACTCTCTCTCTCTCTTCACATTTCTAGATTTTTTTTTCTTTAACATGCTGGCCATCTCCCACCAAGGCAGGGTGACCCGAAAAAGAAACACTTTCACCATCATTCACAGTATCACTGTCCTTACAGAGGCATGCAGTCAAGACAATACCTCCAGATGCATAAACGTTTATTATAACCCACTTATCACATCCCACTTTCAATATAATCCACGTAATTCTTGACATTAAACTGTTCTCATTTTCCAACACCAAATCAAAGACCTGGGGGTGATCATGCGGGACTCAACCTCAAAGGGCCAAACATTTTATCAATCGACTGCTAGAAAAATGCAGGAGGATAATGAGAACCTTCAAAAAAGGGAGGCCAAACCCATTTAACACTCTTCAGGTCACTTGTTCATCTAGGCTGGAATTTGCTGCACACTAACACACCTTTTAAGGCAGGTGAAATTTCCGACCTAAAAATTTCAAAGAAATTTCACGGGGCGCATAACGGAGATAAAACACCTCAATTATTTGGGGGCGCTTGAGTTTCCCAAACCCTTTTTCCCTAAGCAGGGGGGAGGATACATATTATAACACCCGAAAATCCAGAGGGACAGTACCGAACTTGCACACAAAACACTCATTTTAAAAACAAAAGACTTTGGGAGACGATGCACCATCCCCCCAATGAAAAACAGGGGTTTACTACATGTTTAAAGACCAACAATAATTCAGGGCCCGAACGTTCAACTGCCCCCCCCCGCAACAAAAGGGGGGGATTTCCCAAAACAGACCCCTGGCAGTCTTCAAGCTGGCACGGGCCCCAAGAAACCAAAAATCATTTTCCGGGATCAGCCGGGCTTTTGGCTCTTTTGGGGGTTTTTGCTTGCAGCCCCAGCAAACCCTTTGGTTGATCGGCTCTGACCCCAGGGGGCCTGGTCTCAGCCCGGGGCCCGCGGGGGTTAAAACCCCCGGAATCTCTCCAGGTAAACCCCAGGTAATACTTTATATTTTTTTTTTTTTTTAAAATTTTTTTTTATCAAAAACCGGCCGTTTTTCCCCCCCGGCAGGGGGCCCGAAAAAAAAAAACTTTCCCAAACCACCAACACTCCATCCCTGCCCTTGGGCCAAAGGGGTGCTTTACCCTACTTTTTTAAACTGAAATTTTTTAAACACCCCCCCCCCTTTCAGAGTGCGGGCCCTGTATTTCCCATCCCCCCGGGACTCAAGCCCGGCCTCCCGGTTTTCCCCTGAATCCCTTCAAAAATTTTTTACTTTTGTTTCACACCCCAAACAGAAAGTCAAGAAATTAAAAAACCATTTGTCTCCATTAAACCTTCCTATCAAAAACGCTCCCCCTTTCCCTTTGCTGGAAGTCCAAGCCCCTCGAAAAAAACAAAACCTCCTTTACCCCCTCCCCCCAAACCCCTTTCCTGGGCCGCCCCCAACCCCCCTTCCTTCCACTACAGCCCTGATACACTTTTGAAGTCATTCTGTTTCGCCCCCTTCTCTCTACATGTCCAAAAACCACCTCAAAAACCCTTTTCCTCAGCCCTGGGGGACAACTTTTTTTGGTAATCCCCCCCTTTCCTCCTAATTTTCCAAAACTACAATTCCTGCATTATATTCACCCCCAAAACTTTTCCCCTCAGAAATGACATCCTCCACTGCCCCCCAGCCTTCTCCTCGCTGCAACTTTTCATCCCCCACGCTTCACACCCAAAAAAGACGTTTTTAAAACATACTCTCATACATTCCCCCCTCTTTGCCCCCAAGGAAAAATTTCTTTGTCTCCACAAAACCTCCAAGTGCCCCAAATTCCACCTTTTTTTCCCTCATCAATTCTATGATTCACCTCATTTTTCATAACCCCCATCCCCTGCACGTCCATTTTCCCAAATATCTGAATACGTTAAACCTCCCCCCAATACTCTCCCCTCCAATCTGATTTCAATCTTTCATCCCCAATCTTTTTTTTAAACCCCCAAAACCCTTTTACCTTTCCTGTTTTCTTTTTTTAAATTTTTTCTTTTTTTTGCACACCCACCAAATTCAACCACCAATCTCTGCAACTTCTCTTCAGAATCCCCCCATAGCACAGGCCCATCAGCAAAAAAGCACTGTGAAAACCCCACTTTGGGGTGTTTCTTATCTTTTTAACTCCACCCCCTCTTGCCGACCCTCGCATTTACTTCTCTTACAACCCCATCAAAAAAAATTTAAAAATTAAAAAACCCCGGGTGACATCAACACCCTTGTCAAAGGGCCCTTTTTTTTTACTGGAAAAAAATTTCCCTCTTTCCTACATCCCTCTAACTGACCTCATTTCCCCTCGAAAAAACCCCTTCCCCTGCTTTCATAACCTACCCCTACCCAATACACTTGCAACATCTGCCACATTGCCCCCCCCATCCCCCGTCATACGCCTTTCCCAAAAACCCTAAATCCAAAAAGACCTCTTTTTGCCTTACCAAATTTCTGTTCCTTATAGTTTTTAAAAATAAACACCTGGTCCCCCACCAAACCCCCCAACCCTTTTCCCAAAGCCTCCTTGTTCATCGGGTATCCTATTCCCTCTTTCTCTTAATTCTTTCAAATTTTAACTCTACTTAAAACCCTACACTTTTTCCCGGTTAACCCCTCAACAAATTATCCCCCTATAATTTTTTCACCTCTTTTATCCCCCCTTTTCCCCTTTAAAAAGGGAAATATCATGCCCTCTGCCCCAAACCCCCAGGTCCCTTTCCCCTCCATACATTTTTTAAATAATTGCACCCAAACCCCTCCAAAACTATATCCCCCCTGCTTTTAACAATTTTTTATCTTTTTCCCACAAACCCCTGCCTTACCCCCTTTTATTTACCTACTGCCTCACGACCTTTTCCCCCCCAAATCATTAAAATTTTTGGCACAAAAATTTTTTTTTTAGTTCTTTGGTTTTTTTTTAATTTAAAAAATTTAAACCAAAAATTAGTAAGTACCAAAAAATTTAGAGTTAGGAGTAATAAAAGACTTAGTAAAAACCAAAAAAAACCCCGTAAAACCCCCAATTTCCAATTTTCCAAATGCTTTATTTTCCCCCGGTTTTTCTGTGACCCCCAAAAAAAACCCTTAATTTTTTCTTTAAAAATGACACCCAAAACACAAGAAGGGTGATTTAAGTTCTTTAAAAGGGCTAAGAAAGCCGGGCAAATGTTTCCCCTCAGCGAAAAAGTGCAAATTATCAATTTAATTTATCAATTAAACTTTATATTAGATATGTATGTAAACAAAAAGTGACTGATAGGATTGGCTACTATCCACGGTTTCAGGTATCTGCGGTAGTCTTGGAACATATCCCTGGAAGACACAGGGGGACCACCGTACTCAATGATTTATGAGTTAGAAGGTAATAATGCACTAGACTATATATTTAAACAAACAATTAAGTTACTGCCCTTTTAGTCTTAAGCTAGGTTTAAGTTTGCCCAAAATGCTCTGCATAATTAGTAAGAAATGAGTTTTCTGCATGCATACTTACATATTATCATCTCTGTACAAACACTATCATGATGAAATAAAAATATTTTAATTATTATTAAAAGTTATAAAACAAGAAATTTTAATAATCAAAATAACCCTTACTAAATTGCTAAATTTCAAAAATACACAGCAAATGGTGTGTGATAGTGTTACTTTTTATCACCTCACCTCCTGTCATGTACTGCTCAAACTTGTGTCCCCAAACTTCAAAATTTTCCAAGGGGATGCCTGGACGCACATCAAATGTCTCATCCTTCCGCCTAACCATGTATATTGACCCATTAAATCTGCAAGATAAAAATAATTGAGATTGGTGATATTGCAAACACAAACACAAGCACACACACACACAATGCATATGCACACACAAATGTCCACATTTGAGAAGATTATCAGAAGAGTGGTGGAACACCTAGAAAAAATGAGCTTATCAACAACAACCAACACGGTTTCAGGGACAGGAAGTCCTGAGTCAAAATCCTACTGGAGTTCTATGACAGGGCAATAGCAGTAAGAAAAGAGAGAGAGGGGTGGGTAGATTGCATTTTCCTGGACTGTAAGAAGGCGTTTGACACAGTTCCACACAGGAGATTAGTGCAAAAGCTGGAGGACCAGGCAGGTATAACAGGGAAGGCACTGCAATGGCTCAGGGAATACCTATCAGGAAGACAGCAGCGAGTCATGGTACAAGGCGAGGTGTCAAAGTGGGCACCTGTGATGAATGGGGTTCCACAGGGGTCAGTCCTAGGACCAGTGCTGTTTCTGGAATTTATGAACGATATGACGGAAGGAATAGACTCCAAAGTGTCCCTGTTTGCAGATGATGTGAAGTTGATGAGAAGAATTCAACTAGACAAGGACCAGGCAGAACTACAAAGGGATCTGGACAGGCTGCAGGCCTGATCCAGCAATTGACTTCTGGAGTTCAACCCCACCAAGTGCAAAGTCATGAAGATTGGGGAAGGGCAAAGAAGACCACAGACGGAGTACAGTCTAGGGGGCCAGAGACTACAAACCTCACTCAAGGATAAAGATCTTGGGGCGAGTGTAACACCAGGCACATCTCCTGTGGTGCACATCAACCAAATAACTGCTGCAGCATATGGGCGCCTAGCAAACCTAAGAGCAGCATTTCGCCAACTTAATAATGAATCATTCAGGACCCTGTACACCATGTACATTAGGTCCATATTGGAGTATGCAGCACCAGTTTGGAACCCACATCTAGCCAAGCACGTAAAGAAACTAGAGAAAGTGCAAAGGTTTGCAACAAGACCAGTCCCAGAGCTAAGGGGTCTGTCCTATGAGGAGAGGTTAAGGGAAATCGACTTGGCAACACTGGAGGACAGGAGAAATATGGGGGACATGATAACAACATAGAAAATACTGAGAGGAATTGACAAGGTGGCCAGAGACAGAATGTTCCAAAGATGGGACACAGCAACAAGGGGGCACAGTTGGAAGTTGAAGACACAGATGAATCACAGGGATGTTATGAAGTATTTTTTCAGTCACAGAGTAGTCAGGAAGTGGAATAGTTTGGGAAGCGATGTAGTGGAGGCAGGATCCATTCATAGCTTTAAGCAGAGGTATGATAAAGCTCATGGTGCAGGGAGAGTGACCCACTAGCGACCAGTGAAGAGGCGGGGCCAGGAGCTATGACTCGACCCCTATAACCACAACTAGGTGAGTACAACTAGGCGAGTACATGTGCATGCACACACAAACACACCAGTGAAAAGGCAGGGCCAGGGGCTATGAATCAACCCCTGCAACCACAATTAGGTGAGCATGCACGCGCGCGCATGCACACACGCGCACACACACACACCCACACACAACACACACACACCACACAACACACCACACACACAACACACCACACACACACACAACACACCACACACACACACACACACACACACACCACACACACACACACACACACACAACACACACACACACACACACACACAAAATGCAAGGAGGCAGAGGAGAGGTTTGTTCCCAAGGGAAACAGAAATAATGGGAAGAAAAGAGCAAGTCCTTGGTTCACCCAAAGGTGTAGAGAGGCAAAAACTAGGTGTACTAGAGAATGGAAAAGGTACAGAAGACAGAGAACTCAGGAAAATAAAGAGATTAGCCGAAGAGCCAGAAAAGAATATGCACAGATAAGAAGGGAGGCTCAGCGACAATATGAAAATGACATAGCATCGAAAGTCAAGTCTGACCCGAAGCTGTTGTATAGCCACATCAGGAGGAAAACAACAGTCAAGGACCAGGTAATCAGACTGAGGAAGGGTGATGGGGAGTTCACAAGAAACGACCGAGAGGTATGTCAGGAGCTCAACACGAGATTTAAAGAAGTATTTACAGTGGAAACCAGTAGGACTCCAGGAAATCAGAACAGGGGGGCACACCAACAAGTGCTGGATGAGGTACACATAACCAAGGAGGAGGTGAAGAAGCTGCTATGTGAACTTGACACCTCAAAGGCAGTGGGACCAGACAACATCTCTCTGTGGGTCCTTAAAGAGGGAGCAGAGATACTGTGTGTGCCATTAACAAAGATCTTCAACACATCAATTGAAACTGGGCAACTCCCTGAGGTATGGAAGATGGCAAATGTAGTCCCAATTTTTAAAAAGGGAGACAGACATGAGGCACTAAACTACAGACCTGTATCACTAACGTGTATAATATGCAAAGTCATGGAGAAGATCATCAGGAGGAGAGTGGTGGAGCACCTGGAAAGAAACAAGCGTAAAATTGACAACCAGCACGGTTTCAGGGAAGGAAAATCCTGTGTCACAAACCTACTGGAGTTTTATGACAAGGTGACAGAAGTAAGACAAGAGAGAGAGAGGGGTGGATCGACTGCATTTTTTTGGACTGCAAGAAGGCCTTCGACACAGTTCCTCACAAGAGGCTACTGCAAAAGATAGAGGATCAGGCACACATAACAGGAAAAACACTGCAATGGATCAGAGAATACCTGAAAGGGAGGCAACAACAAGTCATGGTACGTGACGAGGTGTCAGAGTGGGCGCCTGCGACAAGCGAGGTCCCACAGGGGTCAGTCCTAGGACCTGTGCTGTTTTTGGTATATGTGAATGACATAACGGAAGGGATAGACTCAGAAGTGTCCTTGTTTGCAGATGATGTGAAGTTAATGAGAAGAATCAAATCGGACGAGGACTACAAAGAGACCCGGACAGGCTACAAGCCTGGTCCAGCAACTGGCTCCTTGAGTTTAACCCTGCCAAATGCAAAGTCATGAAGATTGGGGAAGGGCAAAGAAGACCGCAGACACAATATAGTCTAGATGGCCAGAGACTGCAAACTTCAGTCAAGAAAAAAGATCTGGGGGCGAGTATAACACCGAGCATATCTCCTGAGGCACACATCAATCAGATAACTGCTGCAGCATACGGGCGTCTGGCAAACCTACGGATAGCGTTCCGATACCTCAGTAAGGAATCGTTCAAGACTCTGTATGCCATTTATGTCAGGCCCATACTTGAGTATGCAGCACCAGTTTGGAATCCACACCTGGTCAAGCACGTCTAGAAATTAGAGAAAGTGCAAAGGCTTGCAACAAGACTAGTTCCAGAGCTAAGGGGATTGTCCTACGAAGAAAGGTCAAGGGAAATCGGCCTGACAACACTGGAAGACAGGAGGGTAAGGGGAGACATGATAACGACATATAAAATATTGCGTGGAATAGACAAGGTGGACAAAGACGGGATGTTCCAGAGATGGGACAAAGAAACAAGATGTCACAATTGTAAGTTGAAGACTCACATGAATCAAAGGGATGTTAGGAAGTATTTCTTCAGTCATAGAGTAGTCAGGCCATGGAATAGCCTAGAAAGTGACGTAGTGGAGGAGGAAACCATACATAGTTTTAAGGCAAGGTATGATAAAGCTCATGGGGCAGGGAGAGAGAGGACCTAGTAGCAATCAGTGAAGAGGCGGGGCCAGGAGCTATGACTCGACCCCTGCAACCGCAAATAGGCAAGTGCAAATAGGTGAGTACACACACACACACACACACACAGGTGGACAGAGACAGGATGTTCCAGAGAGGGAACACAGAAACAAGGGGTCACAATTGGAAGCTGAAGACTCAGAGGAGTCACAGGAATGTTAGAAAGTATTTCTTCAGTCACAGAGTTCTCAGGAAGTGGAATAGTCTAGCAAGTGATGTAGTGGAGACAGGAACCATACATAGCTTTAAGACAAGGTATGACAAAGATCAGGGAGCAGAGAGAGAGGACCAAGTAGCGATCAATGAAGAGGCGGGGCCAAGAGCCGAGTCTCAACCCCTGCAACCGCAATTAGGCAAGTACAATTAGGTGAGTACACACTTGACCCCTCTAACCACAATTTATTTATTTATTTATTTATTTATAATTTGAGCACACTTACAGAGGTACAAAAAAAAATACAGATAAGAGCAGCATGCCAAAGCCACTTATACTATGCATAGCATTACGGGCTGGCTTAAAATTAACTTAAGATTAACTAAGCAATGATGAAATCAGTGAAAAACATTAATGTAAACTGATTACTATAAAGCACAAGTGAGTATTACAAAGACAGGTCATATGGTTGCATGCATTGTTGTAAATTCAGTAGAATGGAGTATTCTGTTAGGTAGTGAATTTAAAAAATAATAAAGTTAGATTGGGTTTTAGGTTTAACATTTATGTGATATAATTGTGAGAAACATTTAAGATATACAATTTATAAGGTTCAGTTATTCAGTATTTATTTGGTTTTGGTGAGTAAGTGATCTTTGAGAAGAGACTTGAATTTATAAACAGGTAGTGTTTCTTTTATATTAACAGGTAATGAATTCCAGATTTTAGGGCCTTTTATGTGCATTGAGTTTTTGCATAGCGTGAGATGGACACGAGGAATATCAAAGAGTGATCTGTGCCTTGTGTTATGGTCATGTGTTCTGTTGAGGTTGGCAAGGAGATGTTTGAGGGGAGGGTTAATATCAGAGTTGAGTGTTCTATGTATGTAATAGGTGCAGTAATAAGTATGGATGTTTTGTATGGTGAGTAGGTTGAGTGTATTGAATATTGGTGGAGTGTGCTGCCTGTAGTGAGAATTTGTTATCATTCAACTGCAGCCTTTTGTTGGGTAATTAGTGGTCTGAGATGGTTACTTGTTGTTGAGCCCCATGCACAAATTCCATAGGTGAGATAGGGGTAAATAAGAGTTGATATAGGGCCAGGAGGGCTGACTGTGGGGCATAGTACCGTATCTTCGATAGTATGCCTACAGTCTTGGAAATTTTCTTAGAAATTTGTTGTATATGTGTATGAAATTTGAGTCTATTATCAAGGTGGATTCCTAAGAATTTTCCCTCTGTTAGCTTTGTGATAGGTGATCCGTTTATCATTATGTTAAGAGGGACATCTGTAGCTCTGTTACCAAACTGAATGAAGTAGGTTTTGTCAATGTTTAGTGTAAGTTTGTTAGTACTCATCCAGGTAGATATTTTCTGTAATTCGGTATTTACAGTATTGGCTAGCGTGACTGGGCTCGGGTGGGGGAAGACGTATGTTGTGTCATCAGCAAATAGTGTGGGTTTGAGTAATTGAGAAGCATTTGGTAGGTCATTTATGTATAGGAGAAAGAGAAGAGGGCCAAGGACACTTCCCTGTGGGACACCAACTGTAATTGGTTGTGCAGAAGAGTTTGCCCCATTTGCGTACACATATTGGTTTCTGTTGCTGAGGTATGACTTGAGGTAGTTGAGGGAGTGCCCTCTTATACCATAGTGTGATAATTTACGTGGAGCAAGTCATGGTCAACTGTATCAAAAGCTTTACGTAAGTCAATGAAGACCCCCAGGGGGACTTTTTTTTTCTCTATTGCAGTGTATATATGTTCTAGAAATGTGTATAATAGCATCTTTAGATTTTTATTAGGCCTGAATCCAAATTGGCAGGGGTTGAGTATGTTTTGGGAGATAAGGTAGGAGTGATTCGTTTATGAATTAATTTTTCGAAGATTTTTGAGAGAGGGTTTTAAGTTGGATATTGGCCTATAGTTATTCAACTCTGTTTGGTCTCCTCCTTTGTGGATCGGGGTAAACCCTTGCTATTTTGAGTACTGTAGGGAAGGTGGGGGATTCAATGGATTTGTTAAAGAGTGTTGCAATGATTGGTGATAGCACTTGTGACACTTTTTTGTATATAAAGGGTGGTAAGGTATTTAAATCTCCTGCCTTGTTTTTTAGTGCGTTGATAATAAGGGAGACTTCGTATGGGTTAGTCGGAGCTAGGAACAGTGTGTTCGGGTAGTTGCCGGTGAGGTAGTCATTTGGTGGGGTATCTGAGCTTGGGATTTTATTGGCAAGGTTTTGTCCTATAGTGGAGAAGAAATCATTGAGTCTGTTTGCTGTTTCTGTTGGTGGGAGTTGGGGTTCATCTGATTTTGCTAATTTTATTTCGCTATGAGTACAATTAAGTAAGTACATACACACACACACACACACACACACACACACATGGCCAGGAGCTATGAATCAACCCCTGTAACCACAACCGCGTAAGCATGCATGCACACAACACATACATACATGATAACATACAAAATACTGCGAAGAATTGACAAGGTGAACAGACAGGATGTTCCAGAGATGGGACACAGAAACAAGGGGTCACAATTGGAAGTCGAAGACTCGGATGTGTCAAAGGGATGTTAGGAAGTATTTCTTTAGCCACAGAGTTGTCAGGAGGTGGAATAGTCTGGCAAGTGATGTAGTGGAGGCAGGAACCATACATAGTTTTAAGACGAGGTTTGATAAAGCTCATGGAGTAGGGAGAGAGGACCTAGAATTAATCAGTGAAGAGGCAGGGCCAGGAGCTATGACTCGACCTCTGTGACCACAAATAGGTGAGTACGCACACACACATAAAACTGTACACCGTGTACATCAAGCCCATACTGGAGTATGCAGCAAGAGTTTGGAACCCACACCTGGTCAAGCACATGAAGAAATTAAAGAAAATGCAAAGGTTTGCAACAAGACTTAGTTCCAGAGCTAAGGGTAATGTCAGGGAAATCAGCCTGATGACACTGGAGAACAAGAGGGTTAGGAGAGACATGGTAATGACATACAAAATACTGCAAGGAATTGACAAGGTGGACAAGAGACAGGATGTTCCAGAGATGGGACACAAACAACCATACATAGTTTTAAGATGAGGTATTACAAAGCTCATGGAGAAGGGAGAGAGAGAGAACCCAGTAGCGATCAGTGATGAGGCAGGGCTGGGAGCTATGCCTCGACCCCTGCAACCACAATTAGGTGAGTACACACTCACTCAAAAAGTTTGTAAATCAAGCAAAACATTGTAATACAATTTTCCATACTATATTAACCCTATAGTGGAATACTTCCATTATCCAGGGTATGCTGTTCCCAGTGAAGACAAATATAGAAATATAACTGAGCTGACTGTTAATGTTGAGAAACATATAACATAACAATCACTGAAGTGAAAGTGAGGCAACTTATCACAATACTATTTCATGACCCACACCCAAGAATACCTTACTAGTATTAAAGTGTCTCAGTATATTCCAACTTTTCAACATCAACATGCTGTTGCAGCTGCATAAAGTACTTATCGTTGTATTCCAACATTTCAATATTAACATGCTTTTGCACCTGCATGAAGTACTTACTCTATGGCATCAATAATCCAAGCCTCTCTGAAGTTGTATGTTGATCTCATAATGGTAGAGAAGGTATTCCTTATGCTAATAAAATCAGCTTCCAATCTGAAAAATAAAAATCATTAAAAAATATGAAGATACTGCAATGTTAAGAATCTGCATTTTTTAAACACTAACACCTTCAAGGAGGGTGCCTTGATGTTAGCAAAGGACTCTTAATGTATGAAAATGGTGTCCTGTGGGTTGGTTGGCAACGCACTTGCCTCATACACTGAGTGTCCATGGTTCAATCCCCAACATGGTGGAAATGTTGGTCATGTTTCCTTACACCTGCCGTCCCTGTTCACCTAGCAGTAAGAGGGTATCCGGATGTTAGTCAACTGGTGTGGGTGGCATCCTGGGGAACAAAATTGAAGGACCGCAATAGAAATACGACAGACAATCCTCAATGGCACACTGACTTAGGTTATCCTGGATGGCTAACCCTCTGGGTTAAAAATCCAAACAATTCTTATCTTTCCTTGACTCAAACATATTTGTCTACAGTTTTCCAAGCACTGTGTAACACCTACAGCTTCAGTACTCACTTTATGCATTAGACAGTTTCCGAGCCCATTGCCTAGAACCAATCACACCATCACTGCTGAATTCCATATAATAAGAATCTTCACTACATTTGACAAACTGAGCTGACTGCATACACTGAGTGTGTTACAAATACTAAATTACCAGCAAGAGGAAACTTTTTTTTTTTTTTATTATCACACTGGCCGATTCCCACCAAGGCAGGGTGGCCCGAAAAAGAAAAACTTTCACCATCATTCACTCCCTCACTGTCTTGCCAGAAGGGTGCTTTACACTACAGTTTTTAAACTGCAACATTAACACCCGTCCTTCAGAGTGCAGGCACTGTACTTCCCATCTCCAGGACTCAAGTCCGGCCTGCCGGTTTCCCTGAACCCCTTCATAAATGTTACTTTGTTCACACTCCAACAGCACGTCAAGTATTAAAAACCATTTGTCTCCATTCACTCCTATCAAACACGCTCACGCATGCCTGCTGGAAGTCCAAGCCCCTCGCACACAAAACCTCCTTTACCCCTCCCTCCAACCTTTCCTAGGCCGACCCCTACCCCGCCTTCCTTCCACTACAGACTGATACACTCTTGAAGTCACTCTGTTTCGCTCCATTCTCTCTACATGTCCGAACCACCTCAACAACCCTTCCTCAGCCCTCTGGACAACAGTTTTGGTAATCCCGCACCTCCTCCTAACTTCCAAACTACGAATTCTTTGCATTATAATAAAATCATAATAATAATAATAAAATCATCATAGAATAGAAGAATAGAAGCATCAGGGAAGAGAGAGGTGAAGGTTTATAAACTAAAAGAGGAGGCAGTTAGGGTAAGATATAAACAGCTATTGGAGGATAGATGGGCTAATGAGAGCATAGGCAATGGGGTCGAAGAGGTATGGGGTAGGTTTAAAAATGTAGTGTTAGAGTGTTCAGCAGAAGTTTGTGGTTACAGGAAAGTGGGTGTGGGAGGGAAGAGGAGCGATTGGTGGAATGATGATGTGAAGAGAGTAGTAAGGGAGAAAAAGTTAGCATATGAGAAGTTTTTACAAAGTAGAAGTGATGCAAGGAGGGAAGAGTATATGGAGAAAAAGAAAGAGGTTAAGAGAGTGGTGAAGCAATGTAAAAAGAGAGCAAATGAGAGAGTGGGTGAGATGTTATCAACAAATTTTGTTGAAAATAAGAAAAAGTTTTGGAGTGAGATTAACAAGTTAAGAAAGCCTAGAGAACAAATGGATTTGTCAGTTAAAAATAGGAGAGGAGAGTTATTAAATGGAGAGTTAGAGGTATTGGGAAGATGGAGGGAATATTTTGAGGAATTGTTAAATGTTGATGAAGATAGGGAAGCTGTGATTTCGTGTATAGGACAAGGAGGAATAACATCTTGTAGGAGTGAGGAAGAGCCAGTTGTGAGTGTGGGGGAAGTTCGTGAGGCAGTAGGTAAAATGAAAGGGGGTAAGGCAGCCGGGATTGATGGGATAAAGATAGAAATGTTAAAAGCAGGTGGAGATATAGTTTTGGAGTGGTTGGTGCAATTATTTAATAAATGTATGGAAGAGGGTAAGGTACCTAGGGATTGGCAGAGAGCATGCATAGTTCCTTTGTATAAAGGCAAAGGGGATAAAAGAGAGTGCAAAAATTATAGGGGGATAAGTCTGTTGAGTATACCTGGCAAAGTGTATGGTAGAGTTATTATTGAAAGAATTAAGAGTAAGACGGAGAATAGGATAGCAGATGAACAAGGAGGCTTTAGGAAAGGTAGGGGGTGTGTGGACCAGGTGTTTACAGTGAAACATATAAGTGAACAGTATTTAGATAAGGCTAAAGAGGTCTTTGTGGCATTTATGGATTTGGAAAAGGCGTATGACAGGGTGGATAGGGGGGCAATGTGACAGATGTTGCAGGTGTATGGTGTAGGAGGTAGGTTACTGAAAGCAGTGAAGAGTTTTTACGAGGATAGTGAGGCTCAAGTTAGAGTATGTAGGAAAGAGGGAAATTATTTCCCAGTAAAAGTAGGCCTTAGACAAGGATGTGTGATGTCACCGTGGTTGTTTAATATATTTATAGATGGGGTTGTAAGAGAAGTAAATGCGAGGGTCTTGGCAAGAGGCGTGGAGTTAAAAGATAAAGATCACACATAAAGTGGGAGTTGTCACAGTTGCTCTTTGCTGATGACACTGTGCTCTTGGGAGATTCTGAAGAGAAGTTGCAGAGATTGGTGGATGAATTTGGTAGGGTGTGCAAAAGAAGAAAATTGAAAGTGAATACAGGAAAGAGTAAGGTTATGAGGATAACAAAAAGATTAGGTGATGAAAGATTGGATATCAGATTGGAGGGAGAGAGTATGGAGGAGGTGAATGTATTCAGATATTTGGGAGTGGACATGTCAGCGGATGGGTCTATGAAAGATGAGGTGAATCATAGAATTGATGAGGGGAAAAGGGTGAGTGGTGCACTTAGGAGTCTGTGGAGACAAAGAACTTTGTCCTTGGAGGCAAAGAGGGGAATGTATGAGAGTATAGTTTTACCAACGCTCTTATATGGGTGTGAAGCATGGGTGATGAATGTTGCAGCGAGGAGAAGGCTGGAGGCAGTGGAGATGTCATGTCTGAGAGCAATGTGTGGTGTAAATACAGTGGACCCCCGCTTAACGATCACCTCCAAATGCTGCCAATTATGTAAGTGTATTTATGTAAGTGCGTTTGTACGTGTATGTTTGGGGGTCTGAAATGGACTAATCTACTTCACAATATTCCTTATGGGAAAAAATTCGGTCAGTACTGGCACCTGAACATACTACTGGAATGAAAAAAGTTCGTTAACCGGGGGTCCACTGTATAATGCAGAGAATTCGTAGTTTAGAAGTTAGGAGGAGGTGCGGGATTACCAAAACTGTTGTCCAGAGGGCTGAGGAAGGGTTGTTGAGGTGGTTCGGACATGTGGAGAGAATGGAGCGAAACAGAATAACTTCAAGAGTGTATCAGTCTGTAGTGGAAGGAAGGCGGGGTAGGGGTCGGCCTAGGAAAGGTTGGAGGGAGGGGGTAAAGGAGGTTTTGTGTGCGAGGGGCTTGGACTTCCAGCAGGCATGCGTGAGCGTGTTTGATAGGAGTGAATGGAGACGAATGGTTTTTAATACTTGACGTGCTGTTGGAGTGTGAGCAAAGTAACATTTATGAAGGGGTTCAGGGAAACCGGCAGGCCGGACTTGAGTCCTGGAGATGGGAAGTACAGTGCCTGCACTCTGAAGGACGGGTGTTAATGTTGCAGTTTAAAAACTGTAGTGTAAAGCACCCTTCTGGCAAGACAGTGATGGAGTGAATGATGGTGAACGTTTTTCTTTTTCGGGCCACCCTGCCTTGGTGGGAATCAGCCAGTGTGATAATAAAAAAAAATAAAATCATCATCCAAGTAGTGACTCTAGTAAAACTACTATAAGTTTCCATTAAAAAGTCTAAGACTGTCTGCATCAAAGGTGGGACTTTCAGCAAGGAGAGCAGTCAGTGTGTGTTGGGGCAGCAGAGATGGAGAGCAGTCAGTGTGTGTTGGGGCAGCAGAGATGACAAAGCCAATTCTACATGCTGCTGATAAGACAGTACATCTGACATACAGTGTAACCTAAGTGTTACAAAAGTGTCAAATTCATCTACCATTCTGTTGTTTCACAATTTTGTAGACTGCTTTACTCATAGTACTTGAAAGTAGTATAATATTAACATTTCAGAATGTCATTCATTTTAACTTTTTAGCATTGAACAAGTCAATGGATGGAGTGAGGGTTCAAACCCACAGCAAACCATTCCTAAAACTAGCAGCCCAGTGCACTATCCACTGTGAAATTTGTCTGTAAAAATCTGCATCTGTGGTCAGTGATGACCCATACTAACCTTCCTAGAGTGTTCATATATACACCTAGTTGGATGAATCTTATTTGGCTGGTATGGTCCAGTGGCTAACAGACTGGCTTGCTAGTTTAGAACTGGCTTTCCATGTGTTTGAACCCTACTCTGTTCAACACATCATTACAATTGTGTTATTCACAATGGCTCTGAAGGGACTTGAGCTACAGCTTGCTACAGAAGCATAGAGGATGTCTAGGAAAGGAAGCTCCAGGAACCAGAGGATCTGGTACATACAGCACCTGGTGACCTTCAGCCGACCCAAGAGCTGCATACTGTCGGGAATCAGGAGTAAAGAACACAAAGGCACAAATAACCCACACACGGAAGAGATGAGTTTTTGACTACATTTCAATCCGACTTGGACCATTTACAAGTAACATTAACAACATCAACACCATGGGAGTAAGACACTCAGGAAGATGCTGGATACAAAGATGAAATACCACACCCACTTCAACATCAAACAGGTGAAGACCAGAAGCCAAAAATGAGGACAGGAGCACAAAGAAAGACTAATTCTAATTTCCCTCTAAGAATTATTCTTGGCTGTTCAATAACCACTAAAATACTTATTTTGAGGAAAGAATTTGATATTCCTAGTGTTACTGATAGAATAAGCAAAATCAACCATGAAAACTAAAGCTGTACTTGGTATAAAAACCAAGCTTCAGAGAAATTTTTAGAAAACGTAATTGAACAAAGTCAAAATGGATTAAAAGTAAGTATGAGCATAATACTAGAATATGCCAGGGTGGCATTTCAATACGCAGCCTGCTAACACCCCTCCAAAAATCTTACTCTCAAGCCTCACTTTGCAACCTAGCTAGCATTAACTACAAGAGAATGTTGAAGTAAAATCTTTCGTTTCTCTCTATAAAGTTCAACACCTTATTAGAAAAGAACACAACAAATGATTTAAGAAAGGAAAACAGTTAAGGTGGCCCCAGCACAATCACAACGTGAATCCACCTAATTCCTCCAAGGTCAACCAGAAGGGCTAATGAAAATCAAGGCTGTAATGTGAAGACATTTAGGAATTCCCAGTCCTGAAGAGAGCGTTCCTCAAAACCATTCAAAGAAGAGGAGAAGGCCAATGGACAACCTTAAAGATTTTGGGTAACTCAGGTAGAACCATGCATCAATCCTTTCCAACCAAGATATGCACAGATGGCCAAGCATAAGGCGTACAGCCAAAAAAACAAACTCCTGGATGGATTCCATACACATCTGGAATCCAGTTGAGGAAACTTGTTTGGGGAGTGATTTGCTGGAACATTTATGTGGGACAGGTGACAATTTTTTTTCTGATTAATAATAACAATCTTTATTTCTACAAGTACAGTACAAAGTATTACAGGTCCTAGTTGATATTCAAGAATACTATATAGAAAGCCACTTGTTATGCATTAGGCAAATTAGGTCAATTCTGCCCAGGATTAACCCAACCCCGTAAACTAATTAGAGGTACAAATTAAATGGTTGAACATGGAAGCAGTGCCTAGGAAACGCACTAATGTTTCCAACTCACCGGGATCACCACCAAGAACCTCAGTGTGTGAGCTGAGTGCACTACGATCAAGCTAATAGGACATCTAAAGCAGTTCATCCAAAAAATTCTCTGAAGTGCCATCTGAAACCTACAAGACATACAAGAGAAGAAGCCAAAATAATAAAGTCCCCAACACAATCAAAGGCTGAATGGTAGGTTAACCCTACAGACAAAGCCAAACAGATAGCTACTCATCGGGAAAAGAAAGGAAAAACCTGGGAATCTAATTAATGGAAACATAGAAAGACCTGTGGAGGACTTGCGGCCCCTTGGGCTGAGGCAAGGAGGACCAAACCCCTTTAGAATCGATTCCATCATGCATTTCATCAAAGGCACTTGACGATACACATCCTTGAGATCTAGGATGAGAGAAGATTTACACATAAAATTATATTTATCACACTCACTCCTAAGTTTTCTACTATACCTTCAAAAATTGTCTCCCACTTTTGCATTAGTCTCTTATATAGTATAGATTTATATAGTATAAAATAATTCAGATGAAATGCAGATGAAAATTACAAAATTACATAAAAAATTCTTCTTGAGAGTAAAAATTTAAATTGCTCATGTCATTAATTGCAATTCCAAACAATGGCTCAATGTTTGCTATGATTCTATGGTTGAAGCATCAAGCTTAATGTATGCTCTCAGCAGAATAATTACATACATCCGACCTCCCAAATTAATTTGCAGAATTCAATTAACCCTTTTCGGTGTCAGTCCTGTTATATCATGGTTTTGAAGCCCACAGTATGATGCCATGAGCTCAGCTCACTCAGATAAGCTGTCAGTGGTAAATTTGAGCCTAGATATAAGAGAATAGGTCTATGCAATAAGTGTGCACCATATAAAAAAAATCCTGCAGCACACAGTGCATAGTGAGAAAAAAATGACTGTGTTTTTTGGTTTAAAATAGCACATTTGCAGTGTATTTTCGTATGGTTTTATGGTTGTATTCTCATTTTCTTGGTCTCACTGGATAAAATGCAAGATATATTACAGAAATACAGATGATTTTCATTGGTTTCAAGACTGAAAGTAGCTTGAAATTGAGCTCGAAGTAGTGGAAATGTTCGATTTTTAGCAATATTCAAAAGTAAACAAATCACATCAAGCACCCAATACACGTCAACTGGAGGGTCCAATATACATTCACAAATGTGTTGATATTATTTATACAACTACATGTATTACAATAATGCAGTGGTCTGCATAACTAAATCATTTATTTTTTGTGTGAATAAAAATTCAAAATGGAAAGCCTGGAGACATGACTAATGAACAGAGAAAATGTTATTTTAGTGCCAGGAAGGTCTGCACTGTTTATTCTGAACCCTATTTTGAAACTGGCATTTCCTGAATTTTGTGTGAAACTGGCCAAATTACCAATTTCTGATCACTTTATTGGGTAGTTGAAATAGGTACATGGGCGGTTTCTTGTGCTCAATCAAACAAAAGAAGTATTATCTAAATAGCTATGAGTTTAGCTGACTGGAACAATGGAACTGGCCAAAAATAGGGCTCAAAATTGGCAAAATCGCCAAAATATCAAATTTCTTACTTTTTGTTTCATTACCTTTGGAAAAGGATTCTCTATAATTTCACAAGAAAAAATAATTAGTTTTTTTAAATTCTTCGACCCTGAGAGCAAGTTTGTGAGCAAGGGTCGTGACACTGAAAGGGTTAATCAACATTTTTTACTCATGAGCAATCCAGGAATAAATTTATTTATTTGTGGATTTCTTATCAGTGGCCATTTTTGTCTGGCTTGCTGCCATTTATATGTACACCTACCATCCGACTTACGACCTGCTCGACTTACGACTACTCGACTTACGACCGTGTTTTTTATGCCAAATTTCTGGGAAATAAACTATTTGTGTTGTACACAGTGTTTATCCTAAACCTTACAGTATAAAATACAGTACTAACAATATAAAAAGTAAAGTAAAACATGAAATATCAAAATAAAACAATAAAATAAAGTCATTACAAAGATGTTTTGTTGATATTCAGTAGTAAAGTTCGACTTACGACCGGTTTCTCGGAACCGAACTCGGTCGTAAGTCGGATGGTAGGTGTATTTATAAGTGGAAAAAACGGTGTTCTGCTTTCTGGCGATGTCCACTTTCCAGCGGTAGCCTGGAGCTTAACCTGCTGTATAAGTGGGGGCCTACTGTATATACACACACCCCCCTCTGGATTTTCTTCTATTTCATTACTAGTTCTTGTTCTTGCTTATTTCCTCTTATCTCCATCAAGTGGAACAGAATTCTTTCTCCATAAGCCATGCATGTTGTAAGAGGAGACTAAAATGCCAGGAGAAATTTTCGCTTCTCTTTTCAGGTCACCCTGCCTTGGTAGGATATGGTAATTCCTACTAGTATCATTTAATGTTTCACATGCAGCTAACAGCACACCAAGCAGTATACTGTAAGCCCTTCATGTGGCTGCTGTTTGATTCACTACTGTTTCAGGAGAAACATGAAGGGCTTACAGTATGCTATTTGGTTTGCTGTTAGCTGCATGTGAAACATCAAGTGGTACTAGTATGAATTACTCTAAGTGAAAGTAACATGTAATAAATGTAAAATTATTAAAATTATGTTGCATGTTAACATTCTTTTCGATGTATAAATTATGTATGATATGTGGATTTTGAATTCAGAATAAAGCAAGAATACAGTAGCATGCGGTCTGGAGGCTAAAGCCCTAGCTTCACACGGTGAGGGTCCAGGTCCGATTCCTGGCAAGGGTAGAAACACTGGGTGTGTTTCCTTACACCGGTTGTCTCTGTTCCCCACACCCACTGGTGTGGGCTGCATCCTGGGACAAAACTGACCTAATTTGCTTGAAATACTCTGCATAACAAGCCACTTTCTATATAGTAGTATAGTGGTACCTCGAGTTTCGAACAGTTCCCAACTCGAACAACAATTATGTAAGTGTATTTTTGTAAGTGCTTTTGAAAGTGTATTTTTGGAGATCTGAAACGGGCTAATCTAATTTACATTATTCCTTATGGGAACAAATTCGTTCGGTAATGACACTCGAACAGCCTTCTGGAATGAATTACTGCTGAAATTCAAGGTACCACTGTATGTCACTGATGTCAGCTAGGCCTGTATACATCGTACATGTACTTATAGAAATAAAGATTTTTTTTTTTTCAACAAGTCAGCCATCTCTCACCTAGGTAGGGTGACCCAAAAAGAATGAAAATCCCCAAAATGAAAATACTTTCATCATCATTCAACACTTTCACCTCGCTCAGACATAATCACTGTTTTTGCAGAGGCGCCCAGATACAACAGTTTAGAAGCATATATAAAGATACAATATAAAAAGTGACCTGAAATAAAAATATTATTATGAAGATATTATTATTATTATTATAAATTCAATCTTGCGCATCAAATAATTTACCATGATTTTCAATAATCATCTATGTTTGGCTTACCTTGGGGGAGTAGTGTCAGTCATTAATACGCCACTGTTGCTGAATATCCACTGTAGAAGGTTCTGTAAAGTCTGGCTACTGTTCCCACTATAAAGACTAGCTTTTTCTGCACCTCTGTTGAGATCCAATTTTACCTGTTGAAAATATCTTGCATTATTCTTATGGTAATAACATGACCGTTTCTAATTTCTACTTGTATCAGACTGCATTTTGGTTCACGAAATCATAGCAACATGATTGCAAATAAATCATGGAACAGGTGGGGTCTGAACCCATTGCAAGCAGTTCTAAAACTCCAGGCCAATACGTTTACCACTGGGTCAGCTGGCTCTAATAAGATTCATCCAACTAGGTATATTTTTATGCACCATAAATGCCATTCATACAAACTTACAACAATACACTGCAAAAGATAAAGATGAATATTTTATTTCTTTGCAAAGGTTATGATGTGTAATTACAAATTTTGATTTGCTAAGTACAAAGAAAGCCACTATCATGTTGGGGTATTTTGGGCAGACTAATCCTAATACATGTGTACTTAAAAACTACTTAAGTCTAGACAAAATAAGAGTGGTTATCTTTTTAATAAATCTTCATTTTATCATAATACTAATGGAAGGTAGTCAAAGGTGGAGGTTTATAAGAAATAATAATCTTTAAGTTGCACATAACAATAACAATATTACAAACAATATTTCGAACAGTAGTATTTTATGGATTAGCAGATGTTTTAACCCTTTCAGGGTTTCCGACGTACTAGTATAGCTTACGCACCAGGGTTATTGATGTACTAGAATGCCAAAATTCTAGCGCCTTCAAATCTAGTGAGAGAAAGCTGGTAGGCCTACATATGAAAGAATGGGTCTATGTGGTCAGTATGCACAGTATAAAAAATCCTGCAGCACACAGTGCATAATAATAAAAAAAAAACTCCAACCGTTTTTGGTTGAAAACAGTGACTTTGCAGTGTATTTTCGTATGGTATTTATGGTTGTATTCTAGTTTTCTTGGTCTTATTTTATAAAATGGAAGACACATTACAGAAATTGAGATGAATTTGATTGGTTTCATAATGAAAAATACCTTGAAATTGAGCTCAAAGTAGCAGAAATGTTCGATTTTTACCAAATTTCAAAAGTAAACAAATCATGCCAAGCGTCCAATACACGTCAACTGGCGAGTCTAATATTCTTTCACAAGTGCACTGATATTATTTATACCATTTCTACACTAATGCAGTAGTCTGCACAACAGTAAATCTTCTATTTTTTGTGGGAATAAAAATTCAAAGTGGAAAGCAAAAGAGATGTAAGAGGGGCCTGGGGACATGACTAATGAACAAATAAAATAATATTTTAGTGCCAGGAATGTCTGTCTTGCTTATTCTGGACCCTATTTGGAAATTGGCATCTTCTGAAATTTGTGTGAAATTAGCAAAATTGCCAATTTCTGACCACTTTATTGGATACTTGAAATCAGTAAATGGGTAGTTTCTTGTACTCATTCGATAGAAAAAATGGAGTTCTAGTGAAATAGATATGATTTTTGTCGACTAGTACACTGAAATTTGCCAAAAACAGGGCTCAAAGTGGGCAAAATCGCTGCTGCGTCAACATCGTCGAGACCACTAACTTTGCGAGAGCATAATTCCATAAGCTTTCCATCAAATTTCATACTTTTGGTGTCATTATGATCGGGAAAAGATTCTCTGTCATTTCATTAGAAAACATAATTTTTTTTTTTTCAAAAAATTTTTGACCCTGATAACAAGTTTACGAAAGGGTTAATATATTAGAAGTCACATAATATTTGGGAGAGTTGCTTCATACTGATTAGAGGTTGTGTTGTTGAGTACTGAGAGATGAGATGATTTTTTCAGCATAGCCTTAAACCTGCATACAGTCAAGGGATCTTTACTGGTGCAGGTAGTGAATTCCATATCTTCGGGCCCTTTATGTGCATTGTATTTTTGCATAGTGCGAAACTGACAAGAGGGATGTCAAAGAGTGCTTTGTGCCTTGTGTTGTGACTGTGCATTCTGTTGTAGATATCAAGGAGAAGTTTAAGCGGAGGGTTTACATTGGAGTTTAATGTTCTGTACAAATAGTAGGTGCAATAACATGAGTGTATGTCTCGCATATTTAGTAGGTTCAAGCTTTTGAGAAGTGGTGGGGTGTGCTGTCTGGCACAGGAATTGGTGATCATCTGCACAACAACTTTTTGTTGGGTTATTAAAGGTTTAAGTTGGCTGGCTGTGGTTGATCCCCAGGCACAAATACCATAGGTGAGTTAGGGATATATTAGAGAGTGGTACAGGGCAAGACGTGTCAACTGGGGTACATGGTACCATATCTTGGAAAGGGTGCCCACAGATTTGGAGATCTTTTTGGAAATATGCTGGATGTAGGAATGAAATTTAAGATTACAGTCGAGGTGAAGACCTAGAAATTTACCCTTGATATATTAAGTTGGATATTTAAGGCTCTGTTTCCAAACAGCATGAAGTAGGTTTTGTCTATATTGAGAATGAGTTTGTTGGTTATCATCCAAGTAGATATTTTTTGCAACAATGCTAATACATACCTATGATAAAGTTAAATTGATAAATTATGCATAATAAGTTGAGAATTATCACTTTCCACTGATGGGAAACACTTCAGGGCTTCTCTTAGTTTTTGAGGAGCTGCCGGATCACTACTTCTGCACTTTGTGCCATTATTAAGCAAAATCAAGAATCATTTTCCAGCCACGGTAAACCATGGATAACTAAAACTGCGGAAACTGGACCCGCAGATATGGGGGTCCTACTGTAGATCCTACTATGAACACTTCTCCATCCATGCACTTTTTTTTTAATCATATTTACAAAAACATGCATTATATAGAGGACCTTAAGAGAGCTTACTGCATATCACACAGCTAAACAACTCCTTTTAATCATTTATATTATGACTGAGACTCAATTCTGCAATCTATGTATCTAATGGTATTGATTAAATTATTAAAGCACTACTACAAAATCTAATATGGATTCGAGTAGGATTTTTTAAATGTTAGTGATATGAAAAGGATGATAGTGGTCAGTTGTTCTATCTGTGAATGTGCCTGAATGTAAAGGTGCTATTATGTTTGTCCAGAGAAGATCTAGAACTGAAAAAATGATGTCTCAGTGATTCTAGTATGGTAATTGAGAGTATTACTAGGCAAGAAAACACTAGTTTAATGGTTGAGGGTATTAGAAGGCAAGAAAGCACTTCTGACTGGGGGTATCAGGAGGTAAGAAAACACTAGTTTAATGATCAAAGGTATAAGAAAGCAAGAAAACACTACTGATCAAGGGTATTTGGAGGCAAGAAAACACTATTGATCGAGGAATATTAAGGAAAAGGACAAGAAAACCTACATTCATCCAAGAGTATTAGGAGGCAAGAAAACACTAATGACCAAAGGTATTAGGAGGCAAGAAAACACTACTGACCGAGGATATTAGGAGGCAAAGAAACTATTCATCAAGAGTATTAAGAAGCAAGAAAACACTAGTTTGGTAATCGAGGGTATTTGGAAGCAAGAGAACACTAGTAATCAAGGGTATTAGGAGGCAAGAAAACACTACTGACCGAGGATATTAGGAGGCAAAGAAACTATTCATCAAGAGTTTTAGGAGGCAAGAAAACACTAGTTTGGTAATCGAGGGTATTTGGAAGCAAGAGAACACTAGTGATCAAGGATATTAGGTGATAACTAAAACTGCGGAAACTGGACCTGCAGATATGGGGGTTCTACTGTAGATCCTACTATGAACACTACTTCTCCATGTTCCATGCACTTTTTTTAATCATATTTACAAAAACATGCATTATATAAACAAACAAAGAAATTTTATTTCTTTACAAGATTACATTGAGATTATAAAATTACAATAATGAGTTGCAGTGCAAAGAGAGCCACTACCATGCCTAGACATTATGGGCAGACTTAATTTAATGGCTTACAGACTACTTAATACTAAAGAAATTGATCATAGTTTGTTTAAGTTGTACATCTTTTTTGTTTATAGTAGACATTTATTTTACTCTAATTACAATAGAGGACCTTAAGAGAGCTTCCTGTATATCACACAGCTAAATAACTCCTTTTAATCATTTATATTATGACTGATATTCAATTCTCCAATTTGTATATCTAATGGTATTGATTAAATTATTAATATGGGTTCGAGTAGGATTTTTTAAATGTTAGTGATATGAAAGGAATGATAATAGTCAGTTCTTCTATCTGTGAATGCGCCTGAATGTAAAGGTGCTATTATGTTTGTCTATAGAAGATCTAAAACTAAAAAGATGATGTCTCGGTGATTCTAGTACAGTGATCGAGAGTATTAGGAGGTAAGAAAACACTAGTTTACTGATCGAGGTTACTAGAAGGCAAGAAAACACTACTGATTGGGGGTATCAGGAGGCAAGAATACACTAGTTTAATGATCAAAGGTATTAGAAAGCAAGAAAATACTAGTTTAATGAGCAAGGGTATTAGATGGCAAGAAAATACTATTAATCAAGGGTAATAGGAGGCAAGAAAACACTATTGATCGAGGATATTAGGAGGCAAAGAAACTATTCATCAAGAGTATTAGGAGGCAAGAAAACACTAATGACCAAAGGTATTAGGAGGCAAGAAAACACTACTGATCGAGGATATTAGGAGACAAAGAAACACTATTCATCAAGAGTATTAGGAAGCAAGAAAACATCACTGATCAAGGGTATTAGGAGGCAAGAAATCACTAGTTTAGTAATCGAGGGTATTTGGAGGCAAGAAAACACTAGTAACTGAAGGGATTAGGAGGCAAGAAAACACCAGTGATCAAGGGTATTAGGAAGTAAGAAAACATTAGTGATCGAGAGTATTTGGAAGTAAGAAAACACTAGTGATCGAGGGTATTAGGAAGCAAGAAAACACTAGTGATCAAGGGTATTAGGAAGCAAGAAAACACTAGTGACTGAGTGTATGTATTAGAAGGCAAGCACTAATGATCATGGGTATTAGGAGGCAAGAAAGCACTAGTTTAGTGATTGAAGATACGTATTACTATTTGGTTAACAAAAATTAATGTTGAAATCAACAAATGCTAAGTAGAGAACTGGAGAAACATTTTCATGTTTCTCCAGTTATCAAAGAAACCTAGAGAATTGATGTAATGAATCTATTTATAATAATTTATAATTAACAAAACGATAATTAGCTTGGACAAAATTGTAAGCCCAGAAAATAACATTGTAACATTTTTTTATGTATAATAAGAAAATGCAAATCTATTTATAATGAATTTTAATTACAGTACATTAGCTCACCGACATTTCATCATTGTCTGGCAAGTATTTTCTGTCAAGGAACTTGAGCATTGATCGATCATGACCAAATTTTCTGTCTTCATCCACGGAGTATCCACCCAAAACTTCTGCCTTCCCAAATACAGGGGCAGCCCCACGGTAATGCTGAGGTCGCTCTACTCTGAAAACATTGCTGAAATCTGTAAAGCAAATAAAAATGTCGGAGAGGGCATTTCACACTAAATAATGAGTGCTACAATATGCATACACAACGAAACTAAAAAAATATAAATCCACAATTAGTATAACTACTGGTAGATGTGTGTCTGTCACTGCAGGATATGAGAAAGGAATCCCTGCATCCACAAGCCCAGCTCCCTCTACCTCAATGCACGCAAAAATAAGTTTAAGTCTATATTGCAGTTAAATGCTTGTATTGAAGATTTGAAGCTAATCAAAAGTGACATTTACAAGTTATTAATAAAAATAGCACACCTATACAGCCCAAAACCAAATCAAACAATCCTTTATGCAAGATACACCAGCAATGAAACTCCAATGCCAATCATGAAGTACTGTCTTGTCATCACAGAGCCACCTTGTCATCATACGTTATCTAACATCCTCAGCTCACACGCTGAGGAACCTGGCATTGGTAAAACATTGGGCATGTTTCTTTACACCTGCTGCCCCTATACACCTAGCAGTAAGTAGGAAACTAGGTGTTAGACAACTCTTATGGGTGGCATCCTGGGACTCGAGATTAACCTAAATTTCCTGAAATGCTCAGCATAACCCAGGGCTTTCTACACAGTATGTCAGTGATGTCACCTACATCTGTATCATTTGTATCATATGCCTGTAGAAAATAGTTTATTATATATTACAATTATTATTATTATTATTATTATTATTATTCCGAGGATGAAAATGCAGCAAGCCTGGCACCCTCTTAACATATTATACATCTATTGAGCCATATGAGCTCCTTCACTTATTCACTTACCCTCCATTTATTCTCCATCTAGGAATACACAAATCAATATCAGCACATTAACATCACAGAGTACACCGAATAACAAGGAATACGTTTATTTATAACGACAGTATGGGGAATATATAGTATACCTGGAGAGGGTTTCAGGGGTCAATGCCCCCATGGTCCAGTCTGTAACCAGGCCTCATGGAGGAGCAGGGCCTGATCAACCAAGCTGTTACTGTTAGCTGCATGCAGACTGACGTACAAACCACAGCCCGGCTGGTCAGGTACTGACTTTAGGAGGCTGTCCAGTGCCTTCTTGAAGACAGCCAGGGGTCTACTGTTAAGCCCCCCTTATGTATGCTGGGATTATTATTATAATCAAATAAAGCACTAAACTTTGTATGCTGGGAGTTGAACAGTTGTGGGCAACTAACACTTATTGTGTTTTCTCTTAGTGTACTCATGGTACCCCTGCTTTCCACTGGAGGTATGTTGCACTGCCTGCAGAGCCTTTTGCTTTTGTAGAGGGGTATAGGGAATATACTACAGTATAACAATAAGTGGAAATAAGTCACTGACTTTTTTGGATTATCCTAGGTTATCCTGGGTTATCCATGTTAAATTAAATTAAATTAAATTAAATTCTTTATTTCTCTGTTAATATTACAGTGTGGGGTTTACATATTATAAGATATTACTACATATTGTAAAATACTTATTACAAAGAAGGTCACTAGTATGCCTAGGCATTTTGGGCAGACTAAGAAAGCCTAGAGAACAAATGGATTTGTCAGTTAAAAATAGGAGAGGAGAGTTATTAAATGGAGAGTTAGAGGTATTGGGAAGATGGAGGGAATATTTTGAGGAATTGTTAAATGTTGATGAAGATAGGGAAGCTGTGATTTCCTGTATAGGACAAGAGGAATAACATCTTGTAGGAGTGAGGAAGAGCCAGTTGTGAGTGTGGGGGAAGTTCGTGAGGCAGTAGGTAAAATGAAAGGGGGTAAGGCAGCCGGGATTGATGGGATAAAGATAGAAATGTTAAAAGCAGGTGGGGATATAGTTTTGGAGTGGTTGGGGCAATTATTTAATAAATGTATGGAAGAGGGTAAGGTACCTAGGGATTGGCAGAGAGCATGCATAGTTCCTTTGTATAAAGGCAAAGGGGACAAAAGAGAGTGCAAAAATTATAGGGGGATAAGTCTGTTGAGTATACTTGGTAAAGTGTATGGTAGAGTTTTTATTAAAAGAATTAAGAGTAAGAGGGAAAAAATAGGACACAGATGAAAAAGGGAGCTTTGGAAAGGTAGGGGTGTGTGGCCAGGTTTTTTACAATGAAACATATAAGTGAAATATTGGATAAGGCTAAAGGGTCTTTGTGGATTTAGGGATTTGGAAAAGGCATATGACAGGGGGGATGGGGGGGGCAATGTGGCAGATTTTGCGGGTGTATGGTGTAGGAGGTAGGTTACTGAAAGCAGTGAAGGTTTTTACGGGATAGCGGGCTCAAGTAAGGTATGTAGGAAAGGGGGAAATTTTTTCCCCCAGTAAAAGTAGGCCTTAACAGGGATGTGTGATGTCACGGGGTTGTTTAATATATTTATAGATGGGGTTGTAAGGGGAAAATGCGAGGGTTTTGGGGAAAAGAGGCGTGGGTTTAAAAGAAAAAGAATCACAATAAAGTGGGAGTTGTCACAGTTGCTCTTTGCTGGACCCCATGTTTGGGAGATTCTAAGAGAAGTTGCAGAGGTTGGGGGATAAATTTTGGGAAAAGGGTGTGCAAAAAAAGAAAATTAAAAAGTAAATACAGGAAAGAGAAAGGGTTTATGAGGAAACAAAAGGTTTGGTGAGAAGACTGGATATCAGTTTGGGGGGAAAAGGGAGCATGGGGGGAGGAAAAATGTATTAAATATTTGGGATGGACGTGTAGCGGATGGGTCAATAAAGGGGATGAGGTGAATCATAGAATTGATGGGGGAAAAAGGGTGAGGGGGTGCCTTAGGATCTTTGGGGACAAAAAAAACTTTGTCGGGAGGCAAAGAGGGAATGTTTTTAGAGTTTAAAATTTTTACCAATGCTCTTAAAAGGGTGTGAAGCATGGGGATGAAGTTGAGCGAGGAGAAGGGGGGGAGGCAGTGGGGGATGTCAGTCTGAGGGGGGTGTGTGGTGTGAAAAAATGCAGGAATTTTTAGTTTGGAAAATTAGGAGGGGTGCGGGGATTTCCAAAACTGTTTTCCAGAGGGCTAGGAAGGGTTTTTTGAGGTGGTTCGGACATGTAGAGAGAAAAAGCGAGACAAAAAAAACTACAAGAGTGTATCGTCTGTAGTGGAAGGAAGGCGGGTGGGGGCGGCCCAGGAAAGGTTGGAGGGAGGGGGTAAAGGGGTTTTTTGTGCGAGGGGGCTGGACTTCCCGAGCGTGCGTGGGTGTTTGTGGATGAATGGAGACGAATGGTTTTTAATACTTACGGCTGTTGGAGTGTGAGCAAAATAACTTTATAAGGGGGGTTAGGGGAAACCGGGAGGCCGGGCTTGAGTCCTGGGAAAGGAAAATACAGGCCTGACTCGAAGGGCGGGGGTTTTTAATGTTGCGTTTAAAAACTGTAGTGTAAAGCACCCTTCTGGCAAGACAGTGATGGAGTGAATGATGGTGAAAGTTTTTCTTTTTCGGACCACCCTGCCTTGGTGGGAATCGGCCAGTGTGATAATAAAAAAAAAAAAAAAAAAAAAAATAATGTGCAAGATAAGGTAGGGCTCCTATATTGGAGTGTCTTAGTCAAACTTATGACTAGCTTAAGAATTATGATGCAATAGCTGTATTCAGAATTTTATTTTTACAGTCATGTGTAAATTAGGGAAGTCACAGATATCAGTAAGTGTATTTTGCTTAGGAAATGTGGAAGATATAGTAGTTTTCATGTGGTTAGCACAGCTCCACCAACATGGCCGACACGGCAGAACGTATGGCAGGCTAGCTGCGGGATTTTCAAGGACAGCTCCTGATCCAAGGGGATGACCAGGGCACGACTGAACAGGACTTTGTGTGAATGCCTTGAGAAGATTCCAGAGTAGTGAGAGGACATCCCAGTGCATCGTTTCAGCATAAATCGTGGAAGTGTTGTGCAGTTTGTGAGTAAGGTGTGGTGAGAGTGCCCAGGTTGGGACCAGGCAGTGCCTCTCCCCCCTGCTGCCGGGGGGGAGGGGGCTTTGTGTGTGGGTGAAGATGACGCAAACATTGTTGGTTTTGGCAAGTCACATGCCCATATCTTTCATGATGTGCATGGGAAACGAATGAATGTTGTGTTTGTTGTAGGCAGGACAGTGTGAACAACAATGCACAGTCAGAGTGTAGGGAAGTGCCCCTCACCCCCCTCCCCGGGCCTTGTCCCATGTGTAGTAAACAATGGCCCTCTCATAACTGCTCACCCTCACGCCTTAGCCATTCAACTCCCCCGCCTCACCCACCCAACTCCCAGCACCACCACAACTGTAGAGGGTACTTTCCCCTCCCAGCCCACGTCAGGGATGCCACTGCATGGACAGCGCCATGGAGTTCATCCGCAAGGCAGCTGTCAGGTGTGCCACAGGCAGTGTGCACTCAGTTCCTCAAGCTTCAACATCCATGCACACAGTGGGTGTCTGGGCACCCGGAGGGCTCCAGGAGGAAACAATCAACAGCCCCTCCTGTAGTTTACCTGGAGAGAGTTCCGGGGGTCAATGCCCCCGTGGCCCAGTCTGTGACCAGGCCTCCTGATGGATCAGAGCCTGATCAACTAAGCTGTTACTGCTGGCTACACGCAATCCAACGTACGAGCCACAGCCCGGCTGGTCAGGTACCGACTTAAGGTGCTTGTCCAGTGCCTGCTTGAAGACAGCCAGGGGTCTATTGGCAATCCCCTTATGTATGCTGGGAGGCAGTTGAACAGTCTCGGGCCCCTGACATTTACTGTATTGTCTCTTAACGTGCAAGTGACACCCCTGCTTTTCATTGGGAGGATGTTGCATCGTCTGCCGAGTCTTTTGTTTTCGTTGTGAGTGATTTTCGTGTGCAAGTTCGGTACTAGTCCCTCTAGGATTTTCCAGGTGTATATAATCATGTATCTCTCCCGCCTGCATTCCAGGGAGTACAGGTTCAGGAACTTCAAGCGCTCCCAGTAATTGAGGTGTTTTATCTCTGTTATGCATGCCGTGAAGGTTCTCTGTACATTCTCTAGGTCAGCAA